CGGGAGCCGCCTGCTGCCCCGGCGTGCGCCTCCCCGGCGGGAATGGGGTGGGGGTGGCAAGCAGGGCTGTGCGTGGTCTCCATGTGCTCCCCCTTCTTTGCGCAGTGAACGGGCTCCAGGCTCGGACCTTTGGCGTCTGGACCCTGCTGTCATCAGTGATCCGCTGTCTCTGCGCCATCGACATCCGCAATAGGACGTATGTAAAGGAGCACCGGAGAACTCCTTCGGTTCGCTTGCTAGTCACAACCTGAGCAGCTAGCTTAGAGGGCGGCGCGGAGGAGGTGGGGAATCAAAAGCTGTTCCTGAACTTTATATAGGGTTGAAAGCATTCCCCCGAAAAAGCTTAAATAGCAGTGCAGGATTTGTGTGTTAACTGCTGCTCCCTTCTGCCTCTGTGGGGAGAGCCTGCGCGTTTGAGTTCTGTTTCTTAGCTCAGGCAGAAACTGGTAGATCTGAGAACTTCTTATGTCACAGATTTCTGAGCTCCAGCTTGGAAAGCATCTTCTGATGGCGTTGCTGCTCTGTTGACATTAAGCAACTGCCAATGCTGTGGTCTGACTGATGCTCGGTACTTCTTTTCCTGTGACAGCTCAGCTGAAGACTGGCAGGTTGAGAGGTCCCTTGCAGTGGTCTTAACACACTGCCTTCTTCCATACACTCATATCTGGGGCTGAGGACAAGGCCTGAGGTGCAGCCTGATGCTGTGGTGGGAGGCAGGCCGTTTTTCCCCGTGGTGGTAACAGAAGTATTTCTGAGAGGGATTTCCAAGCAGGCTGACTCTGGGTCTGTGCTAGACAAAGCCTGTGCGGGAGATTGCTAGAACTCACTCTTTTGTCACCACCTTCCCCAGCCCTGCAGCAGAAGTCACTGTCACCAGGCAGTGTGTCCTTGGATTGCCTAGGCTTCTCTGTAGTAGTGAGGTACAGGGACTCAATTACCTGTTTTTAGGGGGTGGTGGCAATGCCAATTACCATGAAACCACTTGTTTCTTAGAAGGATTTTTTTATCTTGCATCTGTTGGACCTGCTCCCTTTCCACAGCTGTGGCCCCTAGAGGGTAGCAGAGCACAGGTGGGAAGATGTGTTGGCTGATGCAGCCTGGAGTCAGCTAAGTCCTATCACCCTAGTTCTCAGCTCATCCAGTTCTCACCCTATTTTTGTGTGCGCATATGCTTCTCACTTCACCGGTGCCCTGCCCTTGCTCTCCCCTCTTCACCTGCCTTCAGGCCAGATAATGCCTGTGACTTTCAATGCACCATTGAACACGCTGCCCTGTTCTCCTCTCAGCTGTTGACCAGGGAGCATTTGCACCTCACTAGGCAAGGGACCAAGTGGCCTCTGTGCTGCCACAGTGAGGATAGATGGGGCAGCATGCAGGTTTGCTTCTTCTCCACTCAGCCATGCTCATGCCCATACTATGGGCTATACGATAACCTGCTTCTTTCTGCTCTCCAACAGTCTCTATTACATCACGCTCTTCACCTTCTTTTTGGCCCTTGTTCACTTCCTCTCCGAGGTCTTCATTTACCACACTGCAGCCTTGACAATTGGAGTTATGGCACCCCTCATGGTAGCAAGTAAGTAGAACTCTGCATTCTCCCCCCACAAACTCTCCATGGAGCTATGAGCCCCCAGAAAAACTCTCCATGGGGCTATGAGCTAAGGGCAGGGAGGGGATGGTGGGAGGGAATGTCTCATCTGCTGTCTAGCATTTTCTACACAACTCATCCTGTATCTCCATCACAGGTTTCTCTATCTTGGGGATGTTGATTGGGCTGCAGTACCTAGAGGTAGAAGCACTGTCACAAAACAAGAAGAAAAACTGAAGCTGAGGGCCCTGTATAGGTCAGCGTTGTCTCCTATCTTCACTGCCAAACTTCCACTAAAGCTCGGCTGAACTTCTCCAGGACACCAGTCCCACTGGTGGATCAATGTTGGACTCTGTCAATCATTCTTCATTACCAAGTGTGGGGTTTTTTTTTTTGTCCAGGCAACATTTCAACTGACTGATGTCAAAGACAAAGTCCCAGAGGAGTTTGTGTCGAAGCTTGCAGGGGGCAGTTGGTGACTGCCTCCCCAGAGGATAGCAGGGAATGTCTCAGGCATGCCCAGTGCACTAAGGATTTCTCTCCCAGTGTACCTGTGGGGACAAGGTTGTAGGACTACCCAGGATCCACTGAACACTTCGGACCAGAAAGAGAGAACGTGTGCTGCCCCTGGCACTGCTGTGTAACTTGCATGTGTGTGTTCCTCAGGGGCCATTTCTAATAAATGACAGAAAACCGCAGGGTGCTCTCTGTCTTTCTGCTACACAGCAATGGGTAGAAGATGTACAACCTCAGAGCAAACAGCAGTTTCTACTGTATGTTGCAGGATAAATCATCTCTTTACAGCAAACCCACCTTTCCCTGACTCCTTCCCACAAAGTTCCAGGTCTGAATGCTCACATCACACACACACAAAGAGAGTTGTTGCAGCTCTCGCTTCCACAGCATAGTGGTGACAGCAAACTGCATGTATCTGTGAGCAAGGACTGAGCTATCTTTGCAGTGAGCTACAACTACAGAGGACTGAGAAAACAGGAACAGGTTGCTTAGACCTAGATGAAATAATGCTGAAAGCAGATGGGCAGTGCACAGAAGGTAGGAAGGAACCAGCAGGATCTCCTAGCTGGGAAGACGGTGTATGTGCAGAAGAGAGGAAAAACACAGAAGGAAGGAAAAGAGCGCAACAGTAGCACTGAGCAGGAGAATGATTTTTCCATTCTGCAAAATAAACATTTCAGGCTATTAGAAGAGCCAGATGTAGACTGTTTCAGCCATTTAATATGAATGTGTCAGGTTTCATTGTACACTTCAAATGTTTTTATTTTGTATAAAAACTTCTATTGAAAAGCCATTTTAGACCCCCATCCTCAATCCCAAACTATCAAAGACAGGACTTGAATTTTTTAATGTGTCAAAAGACACTATAATTTCACCCAAAAATGTTTTGTCAAAAATCATATGTCAGAGAGGACTGTTTTTTCCATTCCACCTGGTTGTGGTTTTTGTCACCCCCCCAAATGATATATGCATAACTGCATGATTTAAGGAGTATAAGGACACTTGATGTCTCCACCGGCAGAGGGATGCTGGAAAGGAGGGAGAAGGGATATAAGGATCTACATTTGTGTTTAGAAGATAAAGAGCAGCATACAGAGGGGCAGTGTCTACAAGATACAAATGCTGGTGAGAGGGCTTCTTCTGTTCTCTATTACAAAGTGGGAAGCTTCCACACTGGAGCAAATCTGGATTCCCATCATACTCAAACCTCTCTCTGTGGCTGTGAAGAGCAACACAGCCTTGGCTGGTTATTTCAGTATAACACTTCAAAAAAGTTTTTACGTAGTGTTGAAATGTGCAAAAGGCACTTTATCATTAAGGAGGAAGACACAGTCCTCAGCCCAGGGAGCTTGTGGTTTGACTCACTCCTGTTGCTACTGTAGTGATGAGCTGGGCTTAGGCTGTAGCTTCAACATAAGCTGCAGAACTAGTCTTTGCCTCCAGGTAGAAGGAGGTATATTGGTATCTCTCAATTATCTCTCCTAATATATAGGAACATCAGGGCAACCTCGGTGAGTTCTGAGCAGAGGTTTATCCACAGACTAAAACCTGAGCCAGCAGTGGCAGATGCATTGCTTTGCACTTGCTAGTGACGTGCTGAGGCCTCTACCATCACGTGTGCAACACAGAGCATCACGGGCACCGAGGCAGAACAATCCCTCTTCCTGAGAGCCGGCTGAAAGCTCTTCCAGGGCTGCTCACAGAGTAAGCGTGGTCCAGCTTCTGCATTTCATGCCACAGCTTGCCTGTGAGAGGAGACACAGCCATGTGCAGGGTGCCACCCTCATGTGATCAGGGCTAGCCTGGAACTGTGGCTTTTCTCAGCATGTGTGCTCTTTCTTTTCCAAGCATACATGGTGGGATGGGGGGTGAAGCGGTGGGTTTTCCCAACTTTTTGTCCAAGCAGCAAAGTCTCCAAAACAGCAAGATGCAGAGGTATAACTGAAAGAGCAAAACAAGAAGGGAGTTGCTCTCTTCACACTCTCCACAAGCAGTTCACTGGGCTCCTGTCCTGAGGCTGCCCCCCTGCCACGGTTGACAGGAGGATGGTGTAGGTAGCAAAGATGGGAATGAGGGGGGCTGCATCTCCCAGCTCTGCCACCCCTCCATTTCACAGCTTTGATTCCTCAAGGACTATGGGATCCGTGCAGGCTTCTGGCATCACTTTCTACAAGTCGGACAGAGAAAACCAATATGGTTAGCATCCTGGGTGGCCAGACCCAGGCTTCAGAGAGACCAGCTGGCCAGAGGCTGGCTAATTCGCAGCTCCCTACTAGTGTGCAGAAATCCCCAAAAAAGAATCACCATCCTCAGAGAGTGCATCTGGTTTCCTCCTCCTTCTCCAGACCCTTCTACTGCCCAGACAAGGGGCACTGAGGCAGCAGGGCAGAGCAGAGCAAGGGTCCCACTTCCCTTAAGCTACTTGCTGTAGTCCACAGACCACAGTTAATTCACAGAGGCTGTACAGGCCCAGATATCAGCCCCACAGCCAGCTCACTGAAGACATTTCACTGTGACACAAGATCAGCCTCAAAGCAGTGAAACTGCCGGGCCAGTTCCCTGGGCAAGGGAAGGAACTGGGAACTCCTTCATGCCACGGGGCAGTGCAGCGTCTGTGCAAGCACCAGAGAGAACCTCCATCCTGTGCACCCTCAGGAGGCTCAGCACAGCAACTAGCTCCTCTCTGGCCTTACTCTGGCATGTCTGAGGGCCTCTTCAACTCCCAGACAGATTGCTGGTTCTGCTCATCTTCAAGTCTTTTCATCCCCACCCCCCATTCAGGGCTGGCACCCTCTGCCCTGCTCCTTCCCTGGCCCCACCTTGGACTTATGGCTGGGATAATTCCACAGAGTGGTACAGATAAGGCCTTCTTCGAAGTTCATTACTCATATCTTAAAGAGGCACAAGAAATAAGAGGCAAACATATACAAGGTTTTTTCTGCATAAATCCTATAGAAGAATTAGCCTGATTACTTGAACCCTCCTACAATTTCTTCCCTTAAGACAGCGGGAACTGTAGAGTTATTTCCCAGAGCAAAAGCAAGGACAACCGAGACTGCTGTCCAATTACCAAGCTACCCTGGGCTGCATTAAACAGCCAAACTTTTGCAATTCCAGTTCAGCCTTCCTGGGTGGAGCTTGATGAGTTCATCTGCTGAGTCCTTCTGGGGTGTGTTAGGATTAAAGAGTTCTTCCCCCAGGGGATTTCAGATACCTCTCCAAGTTCTGACTCTGCTTACAGTGAGACACCCCAGTTGTCACTGATTCAGAAGACAGCATGCAGACTTGTAAGGGTAAACGTGGAGTCTCCCACAGCCTGGGCTCTGAGTTAACTCACTGTGGGGCAAGACTGACATCTGAGGCAGGAGTCAGAGGTGCACGGGAAAGAGGTTCACATCCCCAGTGCAGTTCAAGAGAAGTCCAGGCAGCATGGAAGCAAGAGACACAAAATAGTTTCATTTTGAGTAGCCTCTTACACAAACTGCAGGTGAAAAGGCTTTATAGAGGTTAGCAGCAATATCCCAAAGCAGAGGAGCAAGATCAGGAAAGCTTCAAAGAGATGCCTAGAAGCAAAAGCCAGGAAGTGCAAAGAGGGAACTCCTACCAGCAGGAGGGGTAGGGTGGTGCATGAAGTAGTGCCAGAGGTATGAGTAAGAGGAAAGCTGCATTTAGGCTTGGGAAACCCCACCAGAATGTATCACAGAAGCACTCTGGCAACTCTGAACAGGCTCCCCAGGCACCTCTGGGGTCTGAACACCACTCACTTGCTGTGGAGCTACAGGAACAGAGGCTTAGGAGATCAGCCAGCCTGGAGAGCTCTACCACCTTGGGAAAGGAAGGCTGCTCTCACAGCTGAGAGTCACAGTACTGGAAAAGGGTATGCAGACGGCCTGCCCGTGGCTTTGGGATAGGAGGAGAAGGCTGCTTGCCACGCAGTAAGCACAGAAAGGGAGCAGGGAAGTTTGGGAAGCGGGGGATGGAGTACACACCATTTGTGCCTACTACGCAAAATTCCAGCAGGTTTTTTTTATTTGCACTATTTCACTAGAGAGTAAGCATGCTACAGCTTGCAAGGGACTCCAGTAAGCTACTGAGGGTGGATGCTTGCCCTAGTGCCCTAAGCCAGCCTCTAAATCACACTGGCCTTGGGAGGAAAAAGCAACATGCTTTTGGGTATTCCACTGAGATCCATCAGATGCATCTTTGCATCCAGGCAAACATGCAACCAGCAAAAAAAGGTACTTGGCTCTGATTGAGTCCTGACATATCCAGGACATGGTTTGAGGACACAGCAGAACTTCACTCCTGTTTTAAACAAATCCCTTGCTGTGGCTGTACACCTAGAGCAGGTCACTGGTCATCCCAAATCATCCACTCATCAGTGCTCAGCCCTGCTGGTAGCATAACACTCTAGACAAAAAGTTTTTAATTTTATTACAATTCAAAAACCAGGACAAAGTCTGAAACCACTTTACTCCCTACTCTCTGCTATGAAGAATAGGTTCTTTACACACACACAAAAAAAATTCGATTTATCTACCACCATATAAGACCAGAACAAAGTATTCTCATTAATCAAATTAGCAAGTTTCAAAGAGGCCTAGCAAAGCCCAGTTTGAACGAAAAGACAGTCCTGCCATTTTGGAATCCTGCACTCTGTATCATAACTGCTTTCTTAAAAACCCACACAAGCTTAAAACTATTTCCAAAGAAATGTTGCCTAAGGCTTTTATTGAGCAATTCACTCCTGAGTCAAAACAAACCACGGAAAATGAGCAAAGATGCTTATTTCATAATGCAAAGAAACAATGCAGGAAGGTTTGCATGGATGCTGGAAACCAGGAGCAGATGAGCACAGGCTGTACACAGCATATACGTGAGTATAACGTGTATGCTGAATTAACTGACACTACTATGAAACCTTAAGGCACAATGTTGGAATGGCTTCAGATGCACTTGCAACAAAGGCAGCCCACAAAGAGACTCATTATCATGAAAAACGGGTGTTTGATCCAAGTGTCCTGAGATACAGAAAGCTAACCCTGCTGGCACTCTGGGAACCGAGGCAGACAGAAGTGGGAGGATTGTTGTAACCACACTACAGCTTTATTAATAGAGGACAAGGTGTCCGCAATGCCATTAGGTTAATTTAGTTCCCACTACAAGTTCTACTAATTGCAAC